TTGTATCAAATCTTGAATTCAGTCCTCCTTTAATCCCGGATAAGCCCCCAATTTATCTACCAATGCAGCCTTTTGGGCTGCACAATATAAAATCAACATGTTTTTGAATGTTCAAGAGTGAAATTAATCTATGAGTTAGTTATTTTGTAACTAAAAGCCTCACCAAAGCTGCACAGTGAGGAGGTAGAGGCCCCAGTGGTGAACCACCTCAGGCTACAGCTAGTAAACACAATCAGCTGGTTTCACCATTACTGACATTTTTATTTGTATTTAAATTATTATGCCTTCTAGTCCAATGAAAATTAATTGAATCTTCTAATTTGAATAAGTTTTGGGGTAAAAGCTGATGAAAATATGGTGAACTTAAAAAAGTTCATGACCTAATCTCCATTGGTATCTGTTTTCTGTGTCCTTTATGTGAATCTGTCACTTTCTTTCAGTCGCATTTTCTTTGATTTTCACCTCCATCATTTCATAATGACATCCCAGATGACATTTCCCTGAAATGAACCAAATCAGTGTCACTTTGCCTCATTTATTGGACTGTCTCTGTTTACTCCCGGGCTGAAGTCAGTATACTGTAAAAATCAGACTGTTCAGATAAAAGATCACAAAAAATGGTAAATGGTCTGTATTTGATATAGCACCTTCTAGAGTCCTGGAACCCCCCAAGGCGCTTTACAACACAATCAGTCATTCACCCATTCACACACATTCACACACTGGTGGGGATGAGCTACAATGTAGCCACAGCTGCCCTGGGGCGCACTGACAGAGGCGAGGCTGCCGAGCACTGGCGCCACCGGTCCCTCTGACCACCACCAGCAGGCAACATCGGTTAAGTGTCTTGCCCAAGGACACAACGACAGCGACAAACTGAGCGGGGCTCGAACCTGCAATCTTCCGATTATGGGGCGAGCACTTAACTCCTGTGCCACCATCGCCCAAAAAAGTCTAGATCAGGTCCCCATAGCCAATCACCTGTCTCCATTTAGTCCTGTCGTCTACATCCTCCATCCTCTAACTTCATGTCCTCATTGGTCTTCCTCTCTGGATCCTGCCTGCTGGCTCCAGCCTCAGCATTCTTCTACCTACTGAATCCGTGTCTCTCCTCTGGACGTGTCCAAACCATCTCAATCTGTCATCTGACTTGATCTCCAGAACATCTAACATGAGCTGTCCCTCTGATAGACTCATCACGGATTCATCCTTGTTGCTCCCAAAAAGAGACTCCAGTTCAGTTCAGAATGTTGTTAACCCTCCTGAGGCAGCGGGCGCTGTGGCAGGTGTGCTGATTACAAACTAAAACTAAATGTTGAGAAGAAAAACTCACAGAAAACCCAAAAAGGTTCAGTTTGGTTCTTTCATGGTGGAAAACAAACAAACAAACAAACAATATAACGGCATGAGAAACAGAGTTTTGGTGGATTACAATGATTTGTGAGCACCGTCGTGTTTTACAGTGCTCCTCTCGTGGGGTAAAAATGATTCTCACACATCAGATCAATGGCAGCTCATATCTGAAGGGATCAATAGTGTTTAGAGTCGGACTCATCCACAGAAGCAGAGTTCTGATGTCTGGAAGCCGCTCGTCTAATGAGGAACACAGACAGACAAGAGGAGGACGAAGAAGGAAAATCAGGGAGTTTGTACTCATTTATTTGAAGAGAAGTGTTGGTTTTTCTGTCCAGAAAACTTTTCAAACACAAAAAACTAATCAGTCAATCGGACAGCAGCACCAAACTGAGCAGAACGGAGAAGAAAGGATTTTAGGGACGTGGCTGTTGGCGCAGCCTGGTTGATCTACTGGGACTAGAACTACATGGGTTTCCTATTGCCGGTACCAAAGCCGATACGTACAAGTCACGGTCAGCTGATGGCCAATATCTAGACGTTTTCAACCTAATGTGTAGGGATGGGTACCTTTGATATTTAAATGGATACGGTACCAATTCCTGGTACCTAGGAATCGATACTGGTACTTCACCAATAACAAGTAATGAAATCTCTTTTTTAATTAAGTATATTTGTGTATTTCTAATACAACCATATTTGATAAAAACCATACTACAGTTTGTATTATAATGTTGTGGTATTTCACGAACTAAACCAGCTCCATGTGATCCTTTCTCCTCTGGACAAACTGTGACGGTGGCTCTTGTAGTTTTATATACTGCAACTTAAACTGAAGCAAACATCTTTGCTGTGAACAAAATTTTCTGTGTACCTTCATTGCTTTTGCCGTTCTTTTTCAAACTGTTCATTTTTCCTTCTCAAAAGTCAGAATTTCCGAGTTCCGAGTAGAAAGCGAACGCACCATTAGCTGATGCTTACGGAAGCTAAAATATCAAGCTAACAGTATCGTAAACAGTTTATTTATCCGCTGGAGCAGACTAAACGATGAGGCCTCATCAAGGCCGGATTAACCATATGGGCAACTGGGCCAGGGCCCACGAACTCCAAAGGGCCCAGGGCAGCAAGAGCACGAGCAAAATACTGTGTCTGTAATCTCCCGCTTTATATTAAACTAGGGTGACCGTATGTCCGGTTTTCCCCGGACGTGTCCACTTTTCACTCTCTGTCCAGGACGTCTGGACTGGGGGTTCTTGTATTGATGAAAAGGTCTGAATTTTCATCCAGGAGCAGGGATCGAATTATGGGGGAGCTGGATATCCTACACATCCAGGGGAGCCGGAAAAAAGTTTTCAATCTATATTACATCATTTATGGACTTTTTTGAGCAGAGAGCGGCAGAGCGATGATCGTTGGTGCGCTCCATGCAGCTGCTTCCAGCGCACGGTCCATTCTCAAAGTGGCGCAACCAAAAAACTATAATTAGCACACGATCGTTCGTGTCCGCACATGTTCTCTATTTTCTGTCTTATATGTGCCTGAAGGCTCTGCCGCTGCGGAGCTCATCACCTGTGCTGCGGTGATTTCACCTCACTGACGCATCGAAATGCGCTCTCCTCTTTGCGGTCAGGAGATCCCTTTGATCTGCTCAAAAGTAACTGATGAGGTGAAAAAGTAAGAATCCAGGCATCAGATTTTCTGGAGAGTTCAGAGGAGATGCAGGAAGATGAGAGACAGACAGGACAGGAAATAGTTCAATAAAAACAAGAAAACAAAACAAAGTGTTGAAAAGTCAAATGTAGGTAGATTTATCTCCACTACACGTTTTACCTGTATAAAACAATAAGTTACACACATGTCATATTTATACATCTGATACAATTCAGATCACCTTCAACACTCAGTCACACACCCAGGGCCGTTTCAAGACATTTTGGGGGCCAAGGCAAAATGAACCCCCAAGTTAAGACCCTCTCCTCATTGGTCAGTCCACACGAGGTGGGTCAAAGGTTACCCTGAGTGGGTTACGTGATGTCAGGCATTCAAGGATTGAGTATATTTACTGCATATTACAGTAAAATATTCTGTATGTGACTATATTATGGTGATCCTTGGGTCATGATGATGGGGCCCTTTAATATTGTTGCCCAGGGTACAGCAAAGTGTTAACCTGGCCCTGGGTCTCATTTAGATCGATGACATCACCACCCAGTCACCTATCGCCTTCAGTGAAGTGGACTCTGCCATGCTGCTTGCTGTTTACAGATCGCCCGCAGCGACTAACGACATTATGCTCTCACGCCTGCGCTGCCGTCTATCTTGGGAAATCGCTGTCTCACAAGTTCTCATTAATAAAGGACAGGTACCGAAACAAGGCCCGGTTTCATAAACCACCAATCGGTCCTCGTCAGAACTACAGAATTCGGTCGGTGCCTTAAAGAGCAAGTCACCCTCAAAACAACTTATTTTTCCTGATAAACTATATAAATGCGTGTCTAATTGTGCTGCAGACACGTGTAGTCAATAGGTTTGCACTTTAGTGTATTTTAGTTAAAATTTAAATTTTCTGCCTAAAACTGTCAGTGTTGTGCCGTCGTCGGGTAAAAACTCTGCACTGCATTTGAATTTAAATCTGCCATCGCTATTGGCTAAGAGGTACCCTAGAACGTTAGCTGGTACCATATGATGTCACAATGTCATTGTGAGCCTGTGTGTGTGTGTGTGTATTTGTTAGTGGCTCCGCCCTCTCGGGTCTGCTAGGCAACAGCATTTGTTGCATTATTCAAACAGGAAGTGGGAGCGGAGTAATACTCTGGTAGGGGGTGACTTGCTCTTTAAGGAACCGATTTCTGTACCCATCCCTACTTATGTGCATGTTAAAATGTCTGATAGGATCAGCTGAGTTTGTTTTGGAACCAGCTGTTATACCTTTGTTTTGTGCTCAGTGTTAAAATCAGACGTCTATTAGAAATTTCAGTCGAAAACCACTTTTAGAGCATTGATCATGCAGATGTTATTCAGGAAGGTAAACTTACAGTTACATTATTTCTGCAGCAGCTCCGGGCTGCCCCAGATCTTAACTCAGCTTTACCAAGAAGGTGCATCAGTCCATGCTGATATTTAAACAGCAGTAAATATCTGCTGACCGACATACTGGTTTAGAACCCACAACTACCTCTAGGGTCAAAGGCCAGATGGGTAAAACAGCAGCTCTGATCAGCACTGGTTCCTACCGAGGTCTGCAGAACTACCAGCTGGCCTCCTGTGGCAGAAGACAGAAACAGAGGCTACAGTTCCCACCGGATCACCAGAACTGGACCAGAAGAGGCTGGAAGACCTCTCCTGGTCTGATAGGTCTGGATTTCAGCTGTCTCTCAACCCTAACCCATCTTCTGATGGCTCCTTCCAGCAGGATCATGCACCAGAACTGGTTTGTAGAACACGACCGTGAGACTCCAGTGGCCTCCACGGTTTTGTTTGAATTCCTCCACTGTGAGCAGTTCAGCTGATAGGCAGGAGCGACGACTCCTCCTCCACCCTTTTTCCACCACATCTTTGCCTCATCCCCCACAACGCCTCCCTCCACCTCTCCACTCTTTATTGGTCTGTCTGGTTGCTCGGCAACAGCCGGTCCGTCTCCGTCACTTTGTCGCCACCAACATCGCCAAGGAGGAGGAAAGGGGGAAGAATGAGAAGACGAATGACTGAAGGACAAATGGAGAAAAAGAAAAAGGTCAGTTTGAAGGTGAAAGGTGGTAGGAAGTGAGAATCGTAGGGGAGGAAATACGGAGCTGGACCAAGAAACGGGAGGAGAAATGATAAGATGAGGGTGGAAGGAGGTGAACGTTCTGCAGCACAAGGACCTTCAGCGTGTGCTCCTGTCGTGTCTCTGGATGCAGAACTGTGGAGCTCAGACTCGGGTCAGAGTTTGAGCTAAACAGCCTGACATCTCATTTCAAATGGTGAAGGGCCTGTTTCTGTACAGTACCTTACAACCCCCCAAGGCGCTTTACAGCACAGTCATTCACACATTCACAAACTGGTGGTGATGAGCTACGATGTAGCTACAGCTGCCCTGGGACGCACCGACAGAGGCGAGGCTACCCAACACGGGCGCCACCGGTCCCTCCGACCACCCCCAGCAGGCAAGGAGGTTGGTTAAGTGCCTTGCCCAAGGACACAACAGCAGAATTCTGGTCAGAGCCGAGATCAAACCTGCACCCTACCGATTGCTGGACAGCCTGCTCTTCCTCCTGAGCTGCTGCTGCTGCCCATCAGAACAACAAACCAGTGAAACCAGCATCTAACTGGCTGTGGCAGGCTGGACACTGATGTCCTCTAAAAGTCAGCTGAGAACAAAGTCTGTGACAAAAGCAGGAAGTTCATGTTAAACCGCGCTGACGCTGAGGGACATGTCTCCAGGGAAGGACGGCCCATTTATGGGACAGGAACCACACAGACAAGTTTATGAGTCTGGAAGTTTCCAAACACGGAGCTGGACTTCTAGCTGCAGCCGAGTTCAGCGTGAACTCCTCTGCAGGCCCAAATCTTCTAGAATCATCTAAAGATCGTGTCAGAGTCCAGACCTGAACTCAAAACACCGAGTGTAAGGGGTTAATTTACATCTAATTAAGGAACCGTAAGACATGAGATTTCATAGTCAATATGAAATCAATCTTACGGACCTTTGGGTTATTTTAACCAGAAGATTGGGACTTTTTATTGCAGAGATTGTGTAACACTTTGTATTAACTGAGAGACAAGAGAAGAGAGAGTCACCTTTAAAACGTTTAAGAAGATTTATTTCTAAACAATTTTAAAGAATTTTAAACAATCCTAACTCTAACTCTAATGATGGAAGGATCTGGTGAGAATGATACGTGAGATGAATGGTGCATGTGTGAGTGATGATGTCATCAGAACTCTCGTATCCGGAGAAGCAAGTCTGAATGATGTTGTGATGTTTCGCTTTTAGCTATGATCAGAGTATGATCAGAGTTTCATAAACACACGAGACGCCATATTGTTGCTCCACACATACCCTTCAGATGAAACCTCTGTACAGATCCAGAATGCCAGGTCCTCGGACCCCCCTTTCGGTACCGAAGCCGATGAAACAGCGTCAGCAGTACGACAGACTAGTCGTTGGATCGTCTCCAGGTAAAAAGCGACAGTTGGTTGACAGCGTCAGATGGACCCCCCCCCCTTGGGTCAGTGAGTTCAGCTTTTATTCTGAAAGGAACCGTTGCTTGGTTGGTAAAGTGCAACAGATTTTATCCAGCTTGTTGGTTCTTTGCTTAAAAAGGAGGTCCGGGTGGCCGGTCCGACACTTCTCTTAGCATGCGGTGAACTGAACTAAGATAAACTGGTTTTATTTATCTGGATGTTTTGATTTACGGTCGAATCAAAGTTGGACAGATTTATAAACACCACAGAGACTATGCCACGCTTCAGAAAGGAAGGTTCTGATTGGATGAGTAAACAATGTGTCATGCGTTTACATTACGTGTGATCAGGGTGTCTAGTGCAGCTAGATTAAAGTCACATTACTTATTAAAGCATACTAATCATAACATTGTCATTTCACAGATTGGTCAACATCTTATTATAGACTAACACTTTGTTTTATTAGCTTTATTAAAAATAGAGTTCTTTGATTTATTAAAAGGAAAGAGTCCTTTAGCTTCATTCTTCTCTTGGGCTGGAAAGGAAGCAGTTTAGAAGCAGATGCATGACCTTGAGGCAGTCTCATGCACATTAGTTCTGTGTCAGAGACATCTGTGGAGAGAGGGTAAATAACCTTCGGTGGAATAGTTCCTTCATCACGTTACACGAGTCTCTGCAGACTCCCATGAACTCAAACCACGACCACGAGGAAAGTTACTAAGGCCTTTAGATAAACCCTGATCCGTGTATGAAACTAGAATTCCCTCCTTCAAGGTTTGGATGCAAACTCTGCATTTCCCCTCCACATCCCTGCTGCTTTAAAATCCCACAGGGGCAAAAATCAGCTGTTGATTCAAAACGAACCACATCACACCTGTGAGCTATTTTTAACTAAAGCTTATTTACACGGACATGGGAAATCAGACAGGTTCTTTCATTTGACTGTTTTACTGTAAAAGTATTAAAGGTTGTTTTACCGAATCTGCTGCTGTTGAGTTCAGATCGGACCTCCTAATCTCACATTTCTAATCCAGATCCACAGACCATGAGGTGATGTCACGGCCGATGTTCTAGTTTGTTCTAATAACTCCTAAATGTTCATAAAATTCCTCTGAAGTTAAACAATCGCCAGCATCTTAAAGCCCGGCCTTTGAAAAATAGCCGCAGTCAGGAGTTATTTACTGTCTGAGGGTAAAAAAGGAGCAGAAGGTGTTAATGAACCCTCGGCTGAAGGTCACTTTGAAGATCCCAGTTTCCACATTTCATAATTCATCATCCCAACCTGGAAATTGAAGCTGCTCCTCTCTGAAGATGAGGTGTGTGTGTTTGTGGTGTGAAAATGGAGAAGGATGCTTTGTTATGTCCACGGTATCGATGGAGAACGGCAGATAGACCGGACATCACTCACAGTTCAGACAGCAGACAGGAGTGTGTGTGTGTGTGTGTGTGTGTGTGTGTGTGTGTGTGTGTGTGTGTGTGTGTGTGTGTGTGTGTGTGTGTGTGTGTGTGTGTGTGTGTGTGTGTGTGAGACATTTATAACAAGATGGTTGCTTTTTGTCTCGTTTGAGGCTTTGTTTGAACAGAGTTCAGGTTTGAAACCTCAACTTTGCAGCAGTTTTACATGACGTCAAACATTTAATAACCAGTAACTAAATATCCATAAATACCTGAGCTAAGGCTAAATGTTCATGTTTTGTTGTTGAAACTGTAAAAAATGTAAAGAAAACTGAGATAAAAGAAATGTTCAAACTGCAGCCAGTGGCTCAATAGGGTCACCATGGTAACTCCAACTATCTCGTTATGTTGGCAGGCGTGGTAGTTGCTGAATGTAAGTAATAAATTAACTTGTAATCAGAATACTTTTTCAAGGTAACTGTGGCAACACAGTGCACATGTAAAATTTTTACTTTATTATTCATTTGTTATTAAATGATGTGGCTCAAGATGAAGCCTCACCCAAACCATTACTGTAAGAAAATGATGAGTCTGCGGCCGTGGACGCCTTTTGGCACTGGTCAGTGACATCACTCTCTGCTGGTAGAGCTGCACGTTTTCATTCAGCTATTTTGGTTTTCCTCAGGGGCGTGTCCAGGGAGTGGCCTGGGGTGGCACATGCCACCCTTGGAATCCGATTGGCCATCCCCAGGTGCCACCACGCTGAATTCCCTTTAAATAGGCTTTTCGTTGTCCACAAAAGGCTTGAGGTAACACAAAAAAAAGCATAACCACTGGTGCCACATATAAGTAGTGCCTCACCTGGGCCACCCCATTTTAAAAGATCTGGACACGCCACTGGTTTTCCTAAAGCTGCAGGAGAAATGCTAACAACAGTAATAATTGCTATTTTTATAAAGGGGCTTTAATGAGTATTTATGCCATTAGTAAGTTAATAAAAGCACGTTCTTGAGACGGTTGGTGTTTTTTATTGGATGTGAAAATAAAACTCAAGCATCATGTGGAGGTCTGGACGGATCCATGTTTTCCTCCAGTCTGCTGTAAGCTTTCATTTAGACCTGGGCAGGTGAGAATTTATTCATTTTCTTCTATTTGATCCTAGAACATAATCGATTATTGGTTCTATGTTGTGGGATGTTCTTTAGAATTTGTGATTTTTCCTCATTAATTCATTAAGTCACCACCAGAGACAGAAAGAAGCGTCTGTTTTTAGATGTGCTTCATAAAACTAAACGTGTTTCTGCTGGGATCGGGAGGATTCTGGTCCTGTGGTCCGTGTTGGGGTTTTTCTCTCAGCTCCGCCTCGGATGATTTTGTTGTTCATCCGATTGCTTCCACATCAGAGCTGATTTCTGCTTTAAGCGACTCCGGATCATGACTCAGCCTGAGGAGCATGCAGGAGGAGGAGGATGCAGCAGCGGAGCAGCATCCTTTCTCTCCGCCTCGTTTCAGCACCTCAGAGGGGGGTGTTTATTAAACCGACTGTAATCTGACCCCGCATGCCTGCTGGGACCCCCTCCCTCCCTGGATCTCCATCCTGGGACACAGCACCGTGAATGCGTCACGTTCGTTCTTCCGGCGTCCGCTCCTCGCGCTACCCGCAGGCACGTCGTGTATTTTCCGTGAGAGGATCCGGTCAACCCGCCGCTGTCCTCCTCCGTCCACCCAGTCGATGAAACCGACGGTGAGGAAGCGCGTCCGCGCCGCGCCCTCGCGCCTGGCCGCTCGCTGATGCTCCGGGGGTGCAGCTGCCCGCACAGAGGCAGGATGGTGCGGATCGCCAGCGCGCTGGGGCTCATCATCTTCAGCGTGGCGCTGCTCATCCTGTCCCTCATCAGCTACGTGTCCATCAAGAAGGACTTCGTGCTCGGAGCCCCCAGATATGGACCCAACGGAGGACCCAGGATGTACATGTTCCACACGGGGTTCCGGTGAGTCCAGGCCGGGCTGCAGAGCTGCGGAGAAGCTGGATGAGGGATTGGGATTAGAACAGGGCGCCTGTTTAATGAAGAGATGTTAGGATGCAGCCACCAGTCAGATGGTGCTTGTTGGATGAAATGACATCAGTGGGATGTTTATGAAACAGGATGTTCTCATCAGCAGAACCCTGATCAGATCCAAGGCCTCCCTGCAGGTAGAGGCCTGTTCAGGAATTTTATCCCTCAGACCAAATCGGATTCATCTTTCCCATAAAACACAGTTCACACACAATGGTTCAATTAAAACTATAGTTTTCTAAATCGTTCTCATTAAAGAGATTTAACTGCAAAAGATCGCTCCCGGAACAGCTTCTGTTCAGAGAAATAGTGTTTGTTCTTCCTGACTGATAGGCTAAGGGCTAGGCTGAGTGCAACCAAGACCAACACCTGTTGCTGCCTTCTTAAAACCACTCCAACCTCCTACCCCACCTGGCAGCATAACTCTCTGCAGCAGCTTAATAGAAGTTCTGGTGATCTGTGGTGAATGTCTGTATTCCTAAAGCACCTTCTGTTCTACAACACAACCAGTCATTCACCCATTCACACACTGGTGGTGTAGCCACAGCTGCCTAGGGGAACACTGATGGAGGCGGGGCTGTCAATCACAGATACCATTGCTCCCCCCAACCACCACCGGCAGGTGAGGAGGGTGTCAGACACAAATTTAGAAGAGTGGCACTGTTTTAGAAAAGCTGCACTTGGAAACACACGTAGACACTTAATCTGGTTCCAAGCAGTCTTTAAGGGGGTACTCCACATTTCCCAGGAGAATACCATCAGAAGCTTTCCCCAAGACATAAAATAGCTGGGTCAATGATCAGTTATGTTAGGGGGTGAAGAGCTGTGCCTGTGTCCCACTACTGGGACAGAAGTCACATCGGTCGCCTGTCTTCCCCGGCACCCTGGTGTAGACCTTCTCAGGGAGGATGAGGAGTGTCCAAATTTGTTGTTCCCAGTAACAACCCAATGTAGTACACACAAGACAACCAGGACACCATCCAAGGGGCCTTGAGGAACTCTGAACAAATCCACATCTAGAACCCTGCCACTGGGGTGGTGTCCCCCGAGTCCTCTCGAGTCCCCCCAGCCTCCCCAAGCTCCAGGTTACATTGGTCCTACATTCAGGTGCTCCGTGTGTAGCGATGGGTACCGAATTCGGTACTTTTTAAGGTACCGACCGAATTCCATAGTACCGACTGAGCACCGATTCACGTCATTTGAAACGGTGCCTCGTTTCGGTACCCGTCCTTCATAACGAGAACTTGCCTAGACAGCTGCGCATGCGCAAGAGCGTTATGTCGTCGGTCGCTGCGAGCCAGTTGTAAACAGAGCAGCATGGTAGAAAGAACGCACGCTAAAGCTTGGGTCCACTTCACTAAATGTGATGGGTAACTGGGTGATGATGAAACCAGCGACAACGATCTAAGTGAGATCCTCATCTTAATCTGCTCCGGTAGGTGAATAAAATGTTTAAGATAACGTTAGCTTGATATGTTAGCTTCCGTTTCGCTAAGGGTGCGTTCGCTTTCTCCTCGGAACTCCGAATTTCCGACTAGAAGAACATGAACGCGCTCTAAAGTTTGGCTTCACTTTACTAAATGCGACGGGTGACTGGGTGAAGATGAAACCAGCGACAACGATCTAAGTGTGAGGCATCATCGTTTTAATCTGCTCCAGCAGCTAAATAAACTGTTTAAGATAACGTTAGCTTGATATGTTAGCTTCCATTGCCACCATTGTTATCAGCTAATGGTGCATTCGCTTTCTCCTCGGAAATTCTAACTTCCCAGTAGGAAAAATCAAATGAAAAAGGACGGCAAAAGGAATGAAGATACACAGTAAATTTAGTTCACAGTAAAGATGTTTGCTTCAGTTTAATTACCAGCTTATAAAACTACAAGGACGATGTTAAAATACAAACAGTTGTATGTTATTTATCGTGATTTTTATCAAATATGGTTATATATTGAGAAAAATTTGTATTTAATTATAAAAGAGAATTAAAATATTAAACACTCAAAAGTATCGAAAATTGGTACCGTTAAGTACCGGTATCGATTCGTAGGTACCGGGAATTAGTACCGGATCGATTCAATTGTCAAAGGTACCCATCCCTATCCGTGTGCTTGTAAATAACCACGTAATGTGAAGTCGACAGTGACGCAATTTGGTCTTCCAACTAGCCATTAGCACATCAGTCCTGTAAACCATTTCTCTGAACAGAGGCTGTTCAGGAAGCTCCCTTATGAGTCTATAGATTTCCTGCTGATGTGGTAATGCTGGTTTGGTTAAACCCATTGTACCGCGGGCCATGATGTCTGCAGATGACAGCGATCTGCAGTGAGAGCAGGGTGCAGGTAGAGGAAATGCTAGAGGTGGAGATGTGTGCTGGAAAAGCGCAGATGTGGTGAAAGAGGATAAGGATAGCTTTATTTGTCACTGAACCAGCGTCCCGGTACAACCGTTCCAAGATCAGACCTACAGAGACAGGAAAGCGGTTTTGGCACGTCTTTTCCATGGGAAGATCCTCACGCCACCATGAGAACAAAGATCACAGATCTGTGAAAGAGGACATGAAGTTGGTTGGTCGGAGGGTAGAGGATGCAAGAGCTTGGACCAAATGGAGACAGATGATTGGCCGTGTGTGTGTGTGTGTGTGTTTGGAAACATGTTTACTTGTACTGGTTAAGTTTTGTTACCACCAATAATCACCTAAAGTAGAGTAGATGCAACTGGTTGGCTCTGATTGGTTTGGTGCAGCAGAGCTTGCCTTCTGTAAACGTTTTTATGTTCCGACACGTTGAGTCGGGTAAGGATGGCGAAGCTGAGACGCCGTCCTTGGCCGCCGTGATTTACAACACAAGGTCCACATTCGTTTTCCTCCCGCCTGTAATCATTCTCCTTCCTGCTTCCCGTCATCACCACCAAGGTTATCCTCAGAATGAGTTTCATGTGTTGGAGTAAAACTGCTGTGGGACGTCTTTGTTGTCATGGAAGGAAGTGAATAAAACTCAAGTGTTGATGGGAGGAATTTCACATTCGGGGATAAACACGAACGCTTAAGATAGAAGTAAAACCCAATGCATGAAAAATGATGTTGATATGTTTATTTTTCCTCTACTTGGTCACATTTGACTAAGCTAGAGCTGATTATATGGGGTGCCAATTAAAAAAATTGTACTAAAACAACAAAAAAATGCAACGTTTTGCCAAACTTTGTTCCTCATAACAATAAAAACAGGTGACATTTTAAAAGTCACTTTTTCCACACATTTATTTAAGAATTTCTTTGTTATATTTAGATATTTCAACACAAATCTAAATAATAATAAAAAAATGGTCAAATTTAAAGATGCAAAGTTAAATGTAAGGTTGATAGATGCATAGATAGATAGATACAAAAGTTCAAAGTTAAATCTAAAGATTCAAATTTACATCTAAATATTTACAATGTCTTATTTGAGACATGTAAATGTTAAATTTGTAATATTAATGTAGTCATTTCCAAATAAAAATGCCACTAACTGTTTTAAAACTGAGGTGGTCCACACTGAAATAAAAGCCGAGTGAAGACATCCCCTAACATCTGAGACACTTTGACGCTCGTGTATTGGTCTTTTTGGGTTCTCTCTGTAAATTGATTAATGAGACCTTAGATAGGGGCTCTCTTGCTTCTATTCATACTCTGGTACTTTAGCTTCACAGCAGCTTTAAGTTGCATGTCAGATCATTTGCAGAAATGAAAACGTTGACTTCTCTATTTATATTTCATTCAGAATATTTAGATTTATCAATTTATGTTTTACCTTTTAAATCTGTTTAGGTTTAACTTCTATATGTGATTATAAATATTTAAATAATAAAAAGATGTGTGTGTGTGTGTGTGTGTGTGTGTGTGTGTGTGTGTGTGTGTGTGTGTGTGTGTGTGTGTGTGTGTGTGTGTGTGTGTGTGTGTGTGTGTGTGTGTGTAAGTGTACAGGGTTTTCCCCAGTGCTTTATAAGCCTGGGGGCCCGCCAGGCTTTGCTTGCCCACCCGCCAGGCTAAGCGTCATGCCCCGCCCCTTGACCCGCCCCTACCGTGTCCGCTGAAACGAATGGCGCAACGAAACTAGAGCCCTCCATCAGCTGATACTGGTGAGAAGCAGCAGTGGAACGTGTGCAACCAACCAACCCCCCCCCCCCCCCCACACACACACACACACACACAAAGGAACACAGCTGGACGGAGCACCCCCCCCCCCCCGCTTAAGGTTATTCAAGCGGTTCAGAGTTTAAAAAAAAGCGGTAGATATGATGTTTCACAAGGTGCTGACACCGACTATTTCCCATGCCGCGGCCTTTATGTGAATATCTCTATAATCTTTGGTAGAAAAATGGAACAGTACACGACACGTGCATGAGCGCAAAATTTCACATGTACGTTTTTCGCGTTTCTCTTAGGGGCCCGACACACGGGAGGTGACAAACGACCGCGATCAGCGAAATTTGTCGCTGTCGCTTTTATTACCTGGCACACGGGAGGCGATCCGCGGCAGCGGCCAGCAGCAAAGGCGTCTACGCTTTCTGTTCCATGGAGGTCTACTGGTGGTTCCCAGAATATCTACAATTAGGATGGGAGGCAGATCTTTTAGTTATCAGGCTCCTCTCCTGTGGAACCAGCTCCCAGCTTTAGTACGTGAGGCAGACACTTTGTCTACTTTTAAGACTAGGCTTAAAACATTTTTATTTGATAGGGCCTATGGTTAAAATATGATGTTAGCCTAGATCTGGACAAGTGTACAGTCACTTTGCCGCGCATGTCTCATTGAAAATGAATGGAGGAGAGGTGATGTCGCCTCCCGTGTGTCGAGCCCATAACTCATTTTCTCGGGGAAACCCTGCGCGTACGTTTTAAAGTGTTATTTGAAGGTAAATATTGTATAACTATTTCTTTGTCTACAATGTATATTTAACAATCAGCCCCCCATATAATAAGCAAAGCCAAAAAACAACAGTAAACAACTGCAGGTTTATTAACGAACGCCAATTTTTTTTGGTGCATGAAAGTCAGTGGCGTGTCCAGATCTTTTAAAATGGGGTGGCCCAGGTGAGGCACAACTTTGTGCATGGGTGGCACCAATGGTTATGCTTTTTTGGTTTTACCCCCAAGCCTTTTGTGGACAATGAAAAGACTATTTACAGGTAAATTAGTGTGGTGGCACCTGGGGTGGCCAATCAGATTCCAAGGGTGGCATGTGCTACCCCAGGCCACTCCCTGGACACGCCCCTGAGGAAAATAGATGTTTTGAAGGATCTGCCTGCTTCGATCCTTATGATCATTCCTGTCAGGTAAATCTAACTTTCAGGTCATTGGTGTTGATTTAATGGTGATGAAGACAAGAATGAGTGAAGTTTTTTGTATTTTGTTTCACATCTGCTGCAGAGAGAGGCCACCTCGCAAACCTGACCTGAGGTGAATCCATGTCTCCACCCATCTATCCATCTGTGCTCACATTGCTTCACTTTTCTTTTGCTAACTGAAAAGCTGCAGCTCATCGCTGCACTAAGACCCAAAACCACATTTTAACATAAGTTGAGGTTATCTCGTTAAAGTGTATTATGTTTATGTTTGGCAGACTGTTTTCTCCAAAGCAACTTACAGGATCAGAAAGTGTGCTGGACCCAATGTAATAACTTTTTTATTTAGTGATTCAAACAGCAAACCTGCTTGAGTTTTTGCTTTTTTAAACCAACATTTTTTTTTTATTATTTGTAATTTCCCCATAAATCTAATTCAATTCATAAAAGTTACAAATGCTCATGAAAACCCTTCTGAAGTCAACCTGAAGACCAACTGAGTGGTTTAATTTCTCCGTAGCTCCCAGCTGGCTCTGAAGTATCTGGACCCAGATTTCACACCTCTGGCCAACTCTCTGAGCGAGGACCTGCAGAACTCCTCTAAATGGAAGTACAACAGCTCTGCTTTTAGGCAGCTGAGGTATGGCAACACAAAAACACACAGATTTACTCCAGTCAAGGGAATTTTTTGTTTTGCAATTGTGACTAAAATTAGCCCCCAAAAAAAGCTACTTTCACTAAATAATATGAGTCACAGTAAAAAGTCAGTTTTCCATTGAATCATGTACATTTCTAAAGGCATTTATTAAATATGAGTTTAGTTATTAACAGTTTGTCCGGGGATCGGACGGCCAAAGCTTCTGCTTTGGTCTGCTACCCGATCCACAATGCACCGGACCCTTCATGTTCCTCCTACAGCTGGTGGGTCCACAGTTAGATGAGCCCTTGTGTCCGGTTCGGGGTGAGCCCGGCCACCAGGCACTCGTTCACGAGCCCCAAACCCCAGGCCTGGCTCTCGGGTGGGACCCCAGACTAAAGAAATGATCAGAAACAGGTCACATTTGGATACTCTAGGAAGGTAGAAGATGGTGGCGTCTGAGCGGTGAACAGGTGAGCGGGCCTTTGGAACGTCCCGCTGTCACGACAAGATTCACGTGACAGGCTGATTCACGCCTGCAGCAGCGAATCAGCGGGTCTGCAGCTGTAGACTATTCATCATGTCTTCCTCGTTCTTCATGGGTCGTGATGCGCTTGGATGAAAGCATCTGCCTCTTTAGCCCCCAATCAGCTGATGACAGCTTCAATACGCCGCGCTGCTGAATTAGTAACGCACGCGTTTTCTTATCAGTAACGGAAACGGCGTTATGATGAAAGAAGATGGTAATTAATTAGATGCTCGTTATTTCTTAGTAACGCCGTTACTTTAAACAGCATTATTCCCATCACTGTTCACGAGTGAGGGAAAGATGGAGCGTGAGATCGATAGGCGGGTTGGTGCTGCGTCTGCAGTGATGCGGGCGTTGTACCGGTCTGTTGTGGTGGAGAGAGAGAACTGAGCCGGAAGGCAGAGCTCTCGATTTACCGGTCGATCTATGTTCCTAAATGGCCTGTATTTGATATAGCGCCTTCTAGAGTCCTGGAACCCCCCAAGGCGCTTTACAGCACAATCAGTCATTCGCCCATTCACACACACATTCACACACTGGCGGGGATGAGCTACGATGTAGCCACAGCTGCCCTGGGGCGCACTGACAGAGGCAAGGCTGCCGAGCACTGGCGCCACTGGTCCCTCCGACCACCACCAGCAGGCAACGTGGGTTAAGTGTCTTGCCCAAGGACACAACAGCAGCAACAGACTGAGCGGGACTCGAACCTGCAACCTTCCGATTGCGGGGCGAGCACTTAACTCCTGTGCCACCGTCGCCCCAAAGCTTCTGCTTAGGTCTGAGGAATGGCTACAACAAAACACACAGATTTACTCCAGTCAAGGGAATTTTTTGACCTATGGTCATGAGCTTTGGGTAGTGACTGCGAAATGGCAGATACAAGCGGCCAAAATGAGTTCTCTCTGCAGGCTGGCTGGTTTCTCCCTTAGAGAGAGGGTGAGAAGCTCGGTCATCTGGGAGGGGCTCAGAGTAGACCCGCTGCTCCTCCACATCGAGAGGATCCAGTTGAGGTGGCTCGGGCATCTGGTCAGGATGCCTCCTGGACGCCTCCCTGGTGAGGTTTTCCAGGCATGTCCAACCAGGAGAAGATCCAAGGGAAGACCCAGGACACGGTGGAGGGACTGTGTCTCTCAGCTGGCTAGGGAAGGCTTTAGGGTTCCACCAGAGGAGCTGGCCCAAGTGGCTGGGGAGAGGGAAGTCTGGGCCTCTCTACTTAGGCTGCTGCCCCAGCGACCCAACCCTAGATAAATGACCAAAAATGGATGAATGGATTATTGTCGAAAATATATAACGGTTATTCGACTGCGTCACTTGACACAACGTCTAACTCGATTATGTGACAGCATTCTAAAGTACTGATCGGGTTACATTTTAAACAAGAGTAACAACACAAAATACTCTGATGTCATCATTTTATTCTTCTAGGGCTGCGCAGTGGCGCAGTGGTTAGACCTGTTGCCTTGCAGCGAGAAGGTCCTGGGTTCGCTTCCCAGCCTGGGATCTTTCTGCATGGAGTTAGCATGTTCTCCATGTGCATGCGTGGGTTCTCTCCGGGTTCTCCGGCTTCCTCCCACAGTCCAAAAACATGACTGTTAGGTTGATTGTTCTGTCCAAATTGTCCTTAGGTGTGTGTTGCCCTGCGATGGACTGGCTCTCTGTCCAGGGTGTACCCCGCCTAATTGCCCATTGACCGCTGGAGATAGGCACCAGCCCCCCGCGACCCTACATGGACAAGCGGGTTCAGAAAATGGATGGATTTTATTCTTCTAGCCTTTGCATTTTCATGGTGATCTTAAAATGTTTTTGTACCAAAGTGCTTTATTAAAAACAATCAAAGATGGTCTATGCGTTTCCTTCCTGAGCTACAGGAAGTGTGCCACGGATATCTATCATGAAAAAAGGAGCAACCCTTTAAATTCCTACATTTATGATCATGTCTTGCAGGACTGAGATATCTCAACACATAGACATCCCCAACAACTTCACACTGACTCGGAACTCAGTCAAAGTCGGACAGCTGATGCACTTTGACTACTCCAGCCATAAGTACGTCTACTCCATTGGCGAGAACTTCAGATCACTCCTCCCGAATGTCTCTCCGATACTCAACAAGCACTACAACGTCTGTGCCGTGGTCGGTAACAGCGGCATTCTCACCGGCTCGCGCTGTGGTACCCAGATTGAGAAATATGACTTTGTCTTCCGGTGCAACTTTGCACCGACAGAGATCTTTAAGAAAGACGTTGGGCGTCGGACCAACATGACCACCTTCAACCCAAGCATCCTGGAAAAGTACTACAATAATTTACTGACTGTGCAGGACAGAAACAACTTCTTCTTGAGCCTGAAGAAGCTAGATGGTGCCGTTCTTTGGATTCCAGCCTTTTTCTTTCACACATCGGCCACAGTGACGAGAACGCTGGTGGACTTCTTCGTAGAACATCGGGGGCAGCTGAAGGTCCAGCTAGCTTGGCCTGGCAACATCATGCAATATATAAACAAGTAAGACAGACCAAACTAAATGTCATCGTTTATTAATGTGAACTCATTTCCACCCGTTTGTTGCCAAAAATGTGATTCATTGGTCAGATTATGAACCACAACATCACACTGCAGGTTTTTTTTAAATTGTTGGATGGTATTCAAAGCATGAGAGACCTCACACAAGCTGATTTACCAGATTTACCATCTATGGACCTGGAGTTCGTGATACGGAGCAACATGGTAAAAATTACGCATGAACCTGGAGTCACTTCGGAGTAAGCAAACATGGTGGAGAAGTGTTGCATTCATCACATCGTTCTGATTGGCTACATACCACATTCAGTAGGCATCACGTTTGTTTGTCCTCGCAAAATCGGACCAAGACATTACAACACAATTTAAAGCCTGGATTGACCTTACCAACCTCAGACCAGAAGGAGCGCCAAGCTCAGGACCACGGGACCGCGTGATCACGTATCTGGGATATTTAATATGTTAGATTGTCACGGCCCAATACTGAAACGCCTGTGGTAGTGTAGACAGGAACGTTGTACCTTGAACAGCTTGCTACTGCCTAACTGCTACGGCAAATCTTCACCATTTTATTCTGAACAAGTTTCAACAAGTAGTTTGTGCGTGTGCGTGTGTGTGTGTGTGTGTGTGTGTGTGTGTGTGTGTGTGTGTGTGTGTGTGTGTGTGTGTGTGTGTGTGTCTGCTCTGTCTTCTCCATCCCCAGTGAGTCGTGGAGGATGGCTGCTTATACTGAGCCAGGATTCTCTGGAGGTTTCTTCCTGTTAAAAGGGAGTTTTCCTCTCCACTGTCGCTGCATGCTTGCTTAGTATGAGGATTGCTGTAAAGACTCTGACACTAGTCAGTGACTTGAGGCAGTTTGCTGTGTTCCTTATATAGGAAACATTATTTCTGATTGGCTTAATGAACTGACCTGAATTGGAATGTTTATTATGTGAAGTGGCTTGAGACGACTCTTGTCGTGATTTGGCGCTTTATAAATAAAGTTGAATTGTATTGAATTGTATTGAATTCAGTCCTGTTGCGATTCAAAATAGGCTTTTTTTAACATCCAGTACCAGTTCACAGCCTCTTCCCCAGCCTCCGTCCAGTTTGTAGTGGTTAGAGGAACTCTGTACTGTAAAGAGCATTGCTTTGTGTTTACAGCAAAGAGGAGATTTAGGATCCAAAGCCGGATTATGAGGAAGCAGCTATTTAGTGAAAGGAATGGCACGTAGCTATAACTGTGTTGGGAGAGGGAATTAGGCGTAGTACTTACGGTGTAGCAGCCAAGCAGGCTGCTTTTACAGTAACCTAATCTTTACCAATCCCATTAAAGCTACCTGCACTGAAAGAATTGCTCAAAGGCTTTTCGCCTCCTCCAGATACTTTTGTTGAGGATATTTTGGAGAGCCTACCCCGCTGTGATGCTTTCTCAGCAGGATGGCATCAAGAACAGACAAAGAGAAGTACTTTCTTTAACTTTAGATAATAGGCGATTTTTGTTGCTTACCGATTTCTGAAAAAGTCATGCATTCAAGGTACTCCAAAGAGAACTAATTTAATATTCATGCACAGATTTGTTCTTTGGTTTTAGTAAAATTATTCCAATAAGAGTGACTTTATAGGTAAATGGTAAATGGGCTGTATTTGATATAGCGCCTTCTAGAGTCCTGGAACCCCCCAAGGCGCTTTACAACACAATCAGTCATTCACCCATTCACACACACATTCACACACTGGTGGTGATGAGCTACGATGTAGCCACAGCTGCCCTGGGGCGCACTGACAGAGGCGAGGCTGCCGAGCACTGGCGCCACCGGTCCCTCCGACCACCACCAGCAGGCAAGGTGGGTTAAGTGTCTTGCCCAAGGACACAACGACAGCGACAGACTGAGCGGGGCTCGAACCTGCAACCTTCCGATTACGGGCTCCTGTTACACCGTCGCCCACTAATATAAAACAGTCTGAATTAACACTGAGAACCAAACGCGAATATTTCATTGTGTCACTTTTTTTCAAATGGTTTCTGTAAAAATCAACAGGAACAAAAATAAGTACACGGTGAAATATTTCAATATTTTTTGTCACTAACTCCAGAAAGTGAAACTCACATTATATAGATATGTTACAAATATTGTGAACACCTAAAATTCAATGAATATTAATCAACACACGGCCCGCTCCTGCCATTTAGAAGCTCAGGAAACTGGATATTTTGAGTTAGTTAGCTGTTTAGGGTGTGACACCAAGTCTCTTTACCTTCTTCACAATTTAAACACTGAATTTTAGGTTTTCTTATATGCTTTCACATTCATCCAAATTACAAATAACAAAGGTCCAAAATGTTCCCTTCTGCGTGATGAATGAGTTCCAAAACCGTTTTCCCAAATATTCACATATTTTGAGATGCACCTGTATGTGAGAAAATAAAACAAAACGATCGACGGAGCTGCTGAGGTTAAACGTATCACTCAGAAATGAAATTGCAATTGTTTTCTCATTTCTATACCCAACAGTTACTGGAAAACCAAGCAGCTGTCGCCAAAACGGCTGAGCACTGGCATCCTGATGTACACGTTAGCATCCTCCATGTGTGACCAGATTCACCTGTACGGCTTTTGGCCCTTCGGCTGGGACCCCAACACGGGTAAGGAGTTACCGTACCACTACTACGACAGGAAGGGAACCAAGTTCACCACCAAATGGCAGGAGTCCCATCAGCTGCCCGCCGAGTTCAAACTCCTCTACAAGATGCACACGGACGGCGTGCTGAAGCTCAGCCTCTCGCACTGCGCCTAGCACTGAAGCGGCGGCGCTCATTCAGACCGCTCTCGGTTTTGTTTGAAAGAACTTAAACCTCGACTGTAATGCCAAGTTGGCTAAATCAAAACTTTTGTGAACAGTGACGAACTAAGATAACAGTTTTCTATTCCTCTTTTTTTGCTCTGTACGTTTGGTTCATTCACGCATTACATTGGTCGACGGTTGAACCTGCTTTTACCAAACGTGTTGATGAATGCACAGAACATTTCATGAATGTAGGAAAGGAGTATAATGATTACTGAACAGCGTGGATAATTCACAGCCGTTCTAATGTTAACACAGACAGAAAGTTATAAAATACAGTGGACAACTCAACGACTGACAGTTCTACGACAGGCCGAGAGGACGTGAATGTTATACAAAATCAAAGACCATAGAAGGCAAGATGTAAAAGCATAATTGGCTACAGAGATGACGCAAAAGAGGACTAGCACAAGCAAATGTCAAACCTAAGGTGTGTGTGTGTGTCCAGAGGGAATAAATACTAGATAAGGAGTGTGTGATGAGCATAAGGCCGGGGACAGACCGGCCACCGAAGCGCCGCGAAAAGGGGACCGCCTTCATTCGGCGCCCTTGTTATCCTATTCTATAGACCACACGGGCCGCCGAAGCGCCGCAAAGCGCTCACGAAATTCGGCCGCTGCTCCTCAGTTCAGACCAGACGCTTGTTTCTCCGCTCCGGTCGAGGCGCGCCTCGTAGTTTTTCTTTTAACCACTTGGCGTCCTCCATTTCCTCTCTGCCTTTTCTCTGCTCTTGTCCTCTACACCCCCCTCCCCCTTGCTGTTTGTGTGTGTGTTTGTACGTGTGTTTGTACGTGTGTGTGTGTGTGTGTGTGTGTGTGTGTGTGTGTGTGTGTGTGTGTGTGTGTGTGTGTGTGTGTGTGTGTGTGTGTGTGTGTGTGTGTGTGTGTGTGTTTGTACGTGTGTGTGTGTGAACCTATGGTGTGAACCAGTTGTTAATAGCTGGCCTACGACTTTCTGTCTCTCTGTCCTGTTTGCCCCGGTAGAAAGACACCCAAAACCACACCCCCTTCACGTGGTCACACACACACACACAAGTTCGCTGTGTGTGTGTGTGTTCGTGTGGTTTTTATGCAGTGTCTGTTTACGAACACATTATCGCGGAATTGTATTTTGAAATGTTTATTTTGTTAAATTTACCGGCCTGCCTCTTGACTTCCTGCCAGAATTGACGCGGTTCACCCGCGGCTCGCGAAAAAATAGAGCCAAAATGATCGCTGCACAGCGCAGGCTGGAGCGCGGGCGCGCGGCGCTTCGGCGGCCCATGTGGTTTATAGAATATGATAACAAGGGCACCGTATGAAGGCGGTCCCCTTTTCGCGGCGCTTCGGCGGCCGGTGTGTCCCCGGCGTACGGCAACACTAGCACATTCAATCAAAGGAAAAGTCTGATAAACTTAACTAAAAATAATAATACATTTTAAAAAGTTTTCATTTATTTAGAAATGGTCTCTGATCTGTTGCAGGGATGTAAGAAAATATCGATAGGGCAACATATTGTGATATTTTTCCCAGCAATATGTCGATATTCAAAAGGCGTGTGTTGAATTTTTGGAGGAATTTACATGCAAACATTTGAGTATTTTCTTTTCTTGTGGTGCAATTCAAATGCCGACCGCTAGCTGGCAGCAGTGTGCAACGGTTTTTGTTTCCATCGTTGAAATGTAAATCCCTCTATTATGCTTCTGATACATCATGTTAAACATGCCAAGTATCAGTTTGGACTGTTTATTGAATATTGCTACAATAAACTCAGTCTGAAATAATCGCTAATGTCCGACAGAATGTATTGCAATATATCGTGACACATTGAATCATCTCCCCTGTATCGTGATACGTATCGTATTGCCAAAATTTCACCAATACACATTCCTAACCTGTTAATTGTTAGATGAGAATTTAACGTGTACTTTAGATTAATAGTCCTATAGGTGTTAGTTGGCCTGATGGCTTCATTCATCCAGCTAAACATTTACTAAAAATGGTTTAACATCAGGGATGACCAAGATCAGGCTTGTTTATAGTTTTAACACGAACCTCATTAAAACTCAAACACCACGTTAGATCATTCATTAGAATAAGCTGCATGAAGTTAAGCAACTGCAAAATATTTCTATTCAATTCAAGTTTATTTATATAGCGCCAAATCACGACAAGAGTCTTCTCAAGGCACTTCACATTATGTGAACAATCTTATGTATTTACGCTTATCCTTAGCCAGCAGTTTCAGGTAAGATTTAATGTCGCCCGCTCTGGCCCCAGGTAAACATTTAACTATGGTTGCTGGAGTCTCTAATGCCACGTTTCTGACTATGGAGCTGCCAATGATCAGAGTCGGCTTGTCAGTGGGTGCGTCACTGAGCGGGGAAAATCTGTTAGAAACGTGGACGGGTTGGTGGTGTCCCACGGGCTGGGTTCTATGCTTCCTGCGTACCGTCACCCAGCTAGCCTGAGGTCCCGGCTGCTCGGGTTCTGCTGGAGGACCGCTACGGGGTGGTTCTGAGCTAGTTAGCCCCGTGCTAGCTAAGTAGCTACGGCTATCTACGGGCTTTTCAACAGTGCGGAGCCGGGACTCCAATTCCGACACCCTCGCCTCCAAAGCTACAAAAATGCTACATTTATTACACGTACCATTATCACTAATGGAGGCAGAGGAGTAACTAAACATCTGACACAGAGGTGTGCCGTGCTAAGGCTAAGCTAGCTAGACGAGCAACTCGTTCAACACCAAATAAACCGCGTGCGAACTCAAATGGTTCCCTAAAAGCTAGGTGGAACAACAGAAAATGTGTGTTTTAGCATGCTTATGTGCTACAATAACTCAGAGATATCCTAGAACAGAGAAATTTAATCAATTTTAGCGAGCCACAAACATCGAACAGCTACACGTAGTGCAACACTGAAAGCAGGAAACGCCTTACCGCAGATACTGCCACCTACAGAAGATGTTCGTCAGCTAGTGATGTAGCTAGTTGCCATGGCTAGGGCTGCCAACTCTCATGCATTGAGCATGAGACACATGCATCTGACCCCCTCTCACGCCACACCTCCAGGGGCCGTTTCAAGATAAGCGAGGTAATGGATTTGATAATAACTGTCTAAACACTTTACTGGTTTTACAAGAATCTGATCTAAAATTGGTAAAGTCGTGACATTTGCTATTTAATGTCACATAGCAGAACTAAAAGATTTGCTAATGTCCATTGGCTATGAGTGTTGCTATAGCACTTAGCTGTCACTTGTAATCTTGTTTTTATAACAGATTCCTTTAAAAACAGTGACTCCAGCCCTGTGGCTATCATTCATAAATAACTATAAAACATCTACCAATTTCACAGCCCTGAAATTTTACAAATGTTTCTTCGCTAAGGACATAGCTAACAGCAGTTAGCTACCATTACCAACCAACATTTACTGATGGAACAATTTTCATCTAAAATTATGTAAAAACAAAATTTTTGTAACATATCGATATGCAATTTGCTAATGTTTGTTAGTGAAAACTTTCAGCTTCAATTTATTTTACCTTTCCATATTCTTATTTATTTGTCAGAATTTATTTAAGACAGTAACTCACATGCGGTGGCTGTTGTCCCGTAGTTGAATGACCACATTTTGCGGATATTTGGAACAAGTTTCAAATTTAGGCGGGACGTTTTGCATTAACTTAATTATTCAACAGAAGGAGTCTTTGGGGACTTTGGCCACTTTGGTTTCATCACTGCAGGTGCTTAATGATTAGAAAGAAATTAGTAGTTAAAAATTCTCACTTAATTATGTAAAAAGAAAAAAACACGTAAAAATGACGTTCTTTGATGTTGTGATTTGTAAATCTTTCGGAAAAGGATCAGACTGACCTCCACCACCTTGGGTTCTGGTTTCAACCCACTACCTCCTGAACCCACTTTAATCTCAAAAAATAAAAGAACCACGTTAAAGAAAATAACAAATATGTTTAGTAATTTATTTATCATACCAAAACACAGTATTTTTATAGTCATCAAGCCCATATTAGACCTGCCTAAGGGTCGGGAGATACAGTACTTGGTTTTTGACCTTGCATTGGCGCAGGTAGCTTCTTTGTGCACATACTTGCTGCTGCAAAGCACTGCACTGCATGTAGTACTGGAGTGTTCCATTAGGGGGCATAGTAGAGTACCAAGACCGGATCGAAAGCCAGGGGTGTTGCTCAATGTCAAGGCGCCTGGCCTTGCGAGGCGATGTCTTGCGGCCAGTCGTCTTGCTTACGAGGACACTGTCCTTCCTTGGTCAAAGAAAACCGTTAAATGGAACAGGCTTGCATCATGTGACCGCGGCTTCCACGGTGGTAACGTAACGTCACGTGACACGGGAGATAACGTTATATTTTATATTTATTAGTTTCAATATAAATATATAACAAGACTTTTACTTTTTAAATTGTGTATATGTTTATTAAATTAATATAAGCGAGTTACTACCCGCTAGCCACCGAAGCTGCAACTACTAAGGCTTAGTAACTAAGCAACTAACCAACCATAGATAACTTCTTTGGATCTAAAAAAAACATTTTAAATTAGCGGACTTACTTTTAAACTTGAAAATTGTCCCCGAAGTAGCTGCTGGCTTCTGATCCGCCGTCCTTTTAAAAATGCTGCAGTGTATTCTGGGTAATTTTTGACCAAGGCTAGGCTACAAGACACCTCCCATGTATCCTCGCTCAGCTAGCTAAACGGCTAACAAACGGAGAACACACGCCTCGGTAGAACATGAACATTGGAACACGTCTTGGCGGATCCAGATGACGTATCTCCTAGGCAACCGGGGCGGGGCCAAGACATCAAGGCGAGGTTCCTTGGCACTGAGATACACCCCAGGTTTGTGGGGTACAGCCAAAACAAACATTGCGTCAGTAGAGGAGATCAGGAACTGGATAATTTTTAGATCACGGCAGAAATAAAGACAGCAGTGGTATGGTAGATAGCGTGAAAAACTTCTAAACCAGAGAAGGAGTCACCATGGTGAGTGCCTTGCTTATTTTGTCAACTCCACCTACTGGTTACTTGTATATTGCAGCGTTCGAAAGCGTCAACTTCGGGGGAAGTGCACAAACGACGCGTCAAATCAATGCAAGTTACAGGTGGCAGCCATTTTACATGTGCGTGCGCGTCGTTAAACAGCAAGTTTGTTCCACGCCTAAGTCTCCTCCCCTTCCGGTCGGCCCATGGGTTCCTGAACAGGGCTGTAAGGGTGATTTTCTGGTCTGCTTTGCCTTACGCCGTGAATTACTTCACGTTGTACTTCAATTTAAATTCAAAGTAATTATATGTGTTTTATTATGTCCGTCATGTAATTTCAGATTTCTTAGCTTGTAAAAATTCATAATTATGACTAAAAGCGCTTTCTTGGCATCAAGATGCTTCTTTAGGGTTAGGGTTAGGGGTAACCCTAACCCCCTCCCCCTTTCTTGGCAGTAAGAGTCCAGAAGTAGATGGGCGTGGCTTAGGCTTCATGTACAAAATACACAATTCACCTGGTAGATTATCACATAAAAACAGTTTTCAGAACAGATATGAAGAGGTTTTATTGTTTTTACACAACAGTATTCCGAGTTTTCTTTGATTTTTTTAACTAATTCTGAATTAAATGCTTAAAACATTCAAGTCCTGGACGGTTTTACTCAGGTTTCTCTGATTGTATATAAGTAGGGAGTATGTTTTGACGGTGTTTATGTTACAGTGATTAGTATTAGTTTTAAATGCAGTTCTTTTGTGTTTTCACTTTGCTAAAACACAAATTTCCTTTTACCCTTTAAAGAGCATCAAATATGATGAATAGAAGAAAGAAATGAAGTCATCAGCACACAAAGGTTTTAGCAGTGAACGTGAGTTTGGATGTTTTCATTTTCAGGTCTTTAGACGTGTTGCACAATAAGAAAAACTTGGATTATTTTGGGAATCTGGAGCTAAATTTGAGCAGATTTGCTTATTGTGTCTTATTTGTGACAAATTCCTTTTTTGATTTCAAATGAATGGAAAGTGTTGACTTTAAGTTTCATGTAAGAAAAAAAGAGTTTGAAGGTTAAACTAGAAAACTAATGCTAAGCAACAGGAGTGCATCTTCAGCAAACTTGTGCCGCTGAATGTCATTCATCAGATTTAGCCTTGTTTTATTTTCTGACACGTTTGTGTACATGGGGGGTATCTTATTTATAGAATGTATTGTTTCACATTATGCATTTAGAAACTGCTGTTGCCTCCATACAGATTAACATTATTTACCTTTAGAGATATAAACTACATTAGGAGAAAACACACTGTAGACTTACTGTCTTGTTCATATACTTGAAATAAACTACATCTCTGGCTTAAAAGCTGACAGGAGGAAGTTTTGTGTGTTTTGTGTTTTTTAAATAACCAAGTCAAAAGTAGCTCATCATTCACTTCTGTATTATACCTGTTTTGGGTTTTCTGAGTTTTCTCTTTCTGTTCACTCCTTGTTGCTTTATATGTTTTTGGATTTGAAAGAAGTGGATCACTTGTTTAATCAACAGATTTGCAGTGATCTCTCTCTCTCTCTCTCTCTCTCTCTCTCTCTCTCTCTCTCTCTCACACACACACACACACATACACACATATACATACACACATATACATACACACATACATATACATACACACGTACATACACACATACATATACATACATATACATACACACACACACATACACACATATACATACACACATATACATACACACATACATATACATACACACGTACATACACACATACATATACATACATATACATACACACACATATACATACACACATACATATACATATACACGTACATACACACATACATATACATACATATACATACACACACACATACACACATATACATACACACATATACATACACACATACATATACATACACACGTACATACACACATACATATACATACATATACATACACACATACACACATATACATACACACATATTCATACACACATATACATACACACATACATATACATACACACGTACATACACACATACATATACATACATATACATACACACACACATACACACATATACATACACACATACATATACATATACACGTACATACACACATACATATACATACATATACATACACACACACATACACACATATACATACACACATACATATACATACACACGTACATACACACATACATATACATACACACATACATATACATACACACGTACACATACATACACACATATACATGCACTTATATACATACACACGTACATACACACATACATATACATACATATACACACACATACATATACATACACACATACATATACATACACACATACATATGCATACACACATACACATACACACACATACACATACATACACACATACATATACATACACACGTACACACACACATATACATGCACACATATACATACACACACACATACATATACATACACACATACATATACATACACACATACATATGCATACACACATACACATACACACACATACATATACATACACACGTACACATACATACACACATACATATACATACACACATACATATACATAAACACAGACACACACACACACACACACATACATATAAATACACACAGACACACACACACATACATATACATACACACATACATATACATACACACGTACACATACATACATATACATACACACATATATATATACACACACATACATATACATACACATACACATACATACAGTACATATACATACACACATATGTATATATACACATACATACATACACATATACACATGTGTGTATATGTGTATGTATGTATGTGTACACATATACACATGTATACATGTACACATTTATACATATACACATTTATACATATACACACACATTATATACACACCAGGTTGATGCACCAAGTTCTGTCATGTGCACAACACTGACCTTTGAATAGATTTGAGTTCAACTAAACTTCATGTATAATAAACATATTTTAAAGCTTTTTTAACAATTTCATTTCCAAATTTATATCAGTGCAAAACAGTGAAAAAAATATCTGTTTCCTCTTTGGGCATGTCCCTTCAGAAATCTCCACAGCCAATCACCTGTCTCCATTTAGTCTAGTCTTCTGTGTCTTCTACCCAACACACACAGTCCTCTTTCATAAATCCCTTCATGGTCTTCCTCTCAGTCTCCTATCTGGTGCCTCTATCTCAGCATCCTTCTACTTATGTAATCCTTGTCCCTCCTCTGGACATAGCAAATCGGTGCAATGTTACCCCAATGGTATGTCTTATAAATGCGCCATGTTGGCATTCGTTCCACTTCACTTGGTAGCAATATTGCTGTCATATAAATGGCTATTGCGCCATGGCACAACAGAGGCAGATGTCATGATGACGTGGGGAGTTAATGCCGAGCTCCAACCGGCAAATATATTGAAAATGAAAGTAAACACGAATAATATGTTTTGCTTTTTGAACAAAATCAGCTGAGATGGCAAACTGGAGCGACGCAGCGCTCCGAGAGCTTCTCTTCGTTAGAGCCGAAGCTCAGATCACCAGAGACTGCACAGTGACTGATGGGGACGTTTGTTATGAAAACTCACCGATCACGGCTTCAATCGCAATAAAAAGCAAGTTATGTCCGAGATAAATGGAAGTCCGCGGAATCGCAGAGACCGCCCCCATGCCTCCTTTGTGCCACTATCGCCTACTCTTTTATAAAAAGGACATGATGGCACCACATTACCGCCACGCAGGGACGAAATTTTGATTTCAGAAGTGGGGGGGACACAGCAGGCTTGTGCGGATTTGGGGTGGGGGGTGTTATGTAAAGACCCCTTGACACGTCACGTGCCCATCTCAATAATTTTTCCATCCTCAATATATATATATATATATATATATATATATATATATATATATATATATATATCAAAGTTAAAAAATGTACAACTCTATTATTATTTTTATTTATTATCATTATTGAAGTGCAGTTTTGGCTGTTGACAATGGATAGGCCATTGTATTTATTGTTTTGGGTCTTTTTTTATTGTTTTTGGTGCAACATTTTCTAACAGGGAGTGAGATTCCTTTTTTATTTAATTTTTGTTTGTTATTTTTATTCATTTAGAAGTTCTGGTTCTGGACATTTCAATGTTAAATGAAGGTTTCTTTGTTGCATTTTAAAGGGTGTACTTGCATTATTATGATATATTAACATTATATTAGTGGTTATTTTGGTCTAGATAATGTTGACAATATCGTTTAACATCAACAATTTGTTGGACAAAATATCGTCCAGCAAAATGTGTTACTTTCCCAGGCCTAGTCAAAAGTATAAAAATTATTTATACATAAACGGTCCCTCCTGAGATCTGGCCGTTTGTTCATTTGCTGTGTTAGAGGACAAGCTGAACTAATGTTTTACACATGATCATCACCCTAACATTTGAGTGTATAAAAACATATTAAATATGTTTTTCCCCTTAAAAGTGTTTAAACAGTTGTTGCATTTCAACACACAAAAAATAAAAGGAAAAAATAAGATAAATCTAATGAAAAGTGTACATCTTTGACATTAAGCTTAAAAAAATCTGTTGACGATGATGATACTGTTCATTTTTCAGAGCTTTTTAATGTGAAAATATGCATTGCAATAGATAGGTTTACAATAAAGTTAAATGATAAAAGTTTTGAAGTTACACTTCTACTACTACTACTACTAGTAATAATAATTATGATGATAATAGTAATAATAAAAAAATAATAATTCTAATAATACAAATAAATTGTGTCTGAGGAGTCAGTTATGTGGAGGAGATGAGTTTGTAAAAGTTAGTTTTGAGTATGTTTGTGAAGGAGGAGGTGAGTCTGAGCTTAATGCAGGGGTGTCACATGTTCCAACTTACGTTTTGACTTTGAAAGAAGTCTCTTATATCCACTTTTCGGTTTCTTGACATGCTGCCTCCTGGCTGTGCCTAACTACCAAAGACTCACAAATGAACACTTATTCAAATGTTATGTAATGGAAGCTGAGCTGAGCTCTGATATTACACAGCGTCTAGTTGACGATGTGACTCAGTACCGGTGTTCCCAAGCGGCTCCAAACTAGCAAAACAACGTGAGCACGTTCTGACTGTTTACAACTTGAGTGACAGCAGCAACAGCCAATAATACGTTAGCAAGTATCAGCAGAGCCAATAGATTAGCTTTTGGGCGGGTCTAATAGGAAACCGGTTTCCGTTTCGGTCCTAGTGCTCAACCAAATCCATTTAATGGAGCGTAACATTGTTTTTGGACGGAAAAAAGTGCAAGGGACCAAAACTGCCTTTTGAAAAAGTGGGGGGGACATGTCCCACCCGTCCCCCCCCAAAATTACGTCCCAGCCGCCACGGTCTGACCACTTATTAACGACGTAAGGCTCCATGGTGCCGCCACGGCGTTGCAGCTACTTGGCAGCATTGTTTTGTAAAAGCGGCTATAGACACCGTCTCTAAACAAGAAGGGGCTTAAGAGTAGATCCTTGATGCACTCCCACCTCCACCTTTAACTCCTCTGTCACTCCTACAGCACACCTCACTGCTGTCTCACACCTCACTGCTGTCTAACACCTCGCTGCTGTCTCACACCTCGCTGCTGTCTCACACCTCGCTGCTGTCTCACACCTCGCTGCTGTCTAACACCTCACTGCTGTCTAACACCTCACTGCTGTCTAACACCTCGCTGCTGTCTCACACCTCGCTGCTGTCTAACACCTCACTGCTGTCTAACACCTCGCTGCTGTCTCACACCTCACTGCTGTCTCACACCTCGCTGCTGTCTTAACACCTCGCTGCTGTCTCACACCTCACTGCTGTCTAACACCTCGCTGCTGTCTCACACCTCACTGCTGTCTCACACCTCGCTGCTGTCTTAACACCTCGCTGCTGTCTCACACCTCACTGCTGTCTCACACCTCACTGCTGTCTCACACCTCACTGCTGTCTTAACACCTCGCTGCTGTCTAACACCTCGCTGCTGTCTCACACCTCGCTGCTGTCTCACACCTCACTGCTGTCTCACACCTCACTGCTGTCTAACACCTCACTGCTGTCTAACACCTCACTGCTGTCTCACACCTCACTGCTGTCTAACACCTCACTGCTGTCTAACACCTCACTGATGTCTCACACCTCGCTGCTGTCTCACACCTCGCTGCTGTCTCACCCCTCACTGCTGTCTCACACCTCACTGCTGTCTAACACCTCACTGCTGTCTCACACCTCACTGCTGTCTAACACCTCACTGCTGTCTCA